TGTCACAAGGCAGCTTTTGAGAAATTTTGGTGAGTAAACCAGTGAGGAGAAGCAATAGACAACAACAAACACCTCCCATCTCTAGACAACACCAAATAGTGGAATTATGATATAAGCAGCACAAGCTTACAAGGAAGATCCAGATCAACTTGGATCATAAAGAAGAAGAGTCTGTGAGACAAGCTAATGACTGTTGTGAAAAAAATCTACTAGAAAATACTGATTGCATTAGACATGTACAGGATGATAGATAAGAGAACAAGATAAAAAAAGCAATGGAGGATGAAGTGTGACAGTCCAAGTATTTACTTACTCTTACCTTATAAGCAGAAAATAAAAAGCTGTAATTCTTGCAGTCAAAACAAAACCTGATACTGAGCCTTGTTCCCTAGTTTGCAAACTCCCTCTAGTGGATGACAATGGAAACAATGAATCACTTCTATAAAAATAAATGAGCTATTAAACTGTGCAGTTCATGCAGGGACCACACAGGGAGAGTGCTACAGACTATAACTTACATTAAAAATTCTTAGCAACAGCAAATTAAAGTGGTTTGAAACATGACAGCTGGCATCTGCTTAGACATGTTCATGGGGCTACTTTTAACTAATTTTTACCAGGAAGTGTCTCAAAAACACACTGAAATGACCTGAAGACTCTTAATATTCAGAAAAACATGGAATGAGGGCATGAGACTTGAAGCATTTGCATTACAGAAGTATATGTGGATGTACCACATCAACCACAGTTTATTAAATTTAGGTAAAACTACCCTGAACACAGCAAAGATAAGCGAGAAGCTGTAAACATAATCACTTTTTTCTGCTATAGCAAAATCCAGCTTTTATCAATGTCCTTGTGTTTATGTCGGTCATGAGCTATAAAATATACTACAATTAATATTTAAACAACTGAGACAAAAGGGTAGCATTTGTCTTCTTCTCCATCAGGATATGGTCATTAGTCATTTTAATTGGAGTCAACCTTACGTTCCCAGGGCCCTTTATTTGCTGACAGAAAATTCAAGATAAACAGCCCTATGTTTCCAGGGCCCGTATGTTCCCTCATTGAAAATTTCTAGAAAACACCTCTAGATTCCCATGGCCCCAATGAGAGATTGTAGTTAACATAGACTTCATGAGTACTTGCCCAGATGATCTGATATAATGTTCATTTTGTCCATTGCCTAGTACATAACTGGTTTTTGTGTAGTACTATATGATCTGTTACTTTACTCCGCCATCTTTTGTGTGCTACACTGACTCATCAAAAACGGTTTGCTAGAAAAAACAGCATAGACCAGCAAATCACCCCCAAAACTAGCATACGTTTAGTTTTAGATGTTGGTGTGCTGGGTGACCAGTTAAAGCAGCACCAGAAGAGCTTAAATCAGGTCTGGTTCTAAGCTGTTTTTTCAGCATGATAGCTAGTCAGTTCAAGGTCAAGCCTAGTCAAGGTAAAGTACATTCCTATTGAAACATCTAATAATTGTTATCTTATGTTATGGCCTTTGTTAACCCCTGGCTCTATTACCTGTGTTACATTGCGTTATAATGGATCATAAAAAGAGCTGAGAGAATGTAGACCACTGGAACACAGGGTTCTGGGAATGTAAGTACTCTGCCTTTAGACTTAGACTTAGACTTAGACAGACTTTATTGTCATTCAAATTTACACCGTACAGTGCACATTAGAACGAAATTACGTTGCATAGGCTCAGGGTAGATCAGGGAGAATTATAAGTAATACAGTGTAGTGCTAAGTGCAATGTAGTGCAGAGTGTGGCGCATATGTAAACATATTTATGTCAACAGATAAATACATTTTAAATAAGTATATATACAAGAGGGTGTATTGCACTGTAGCTCCCAGGTATGGAGTAATTAAAAAAAGAATTGAAGCAGCATTTATTTAGAGTTCAATAGTCTTATTGCATGTGGGAAGAAGCTGTTTTTGAACCTGGCTGTTCTGCTTCGAAGACTTCGGAACCTCTTTCCAGAGGCTAGCAGCGAGAACAGTCCATGGTGGGGGTGGGAGGGGTCTCTGTTTATGTTCTGTGCTCTGGTCAGACAGCGACTTGTTGCAATGTCCTGTATGGGAGGAAGTGAAGTCCCAATAATTCTCTCTGCTGTCTGCAGAGACTTCCAGTCAGAGGTGCTGCAGGCTCCTGCCCAGACAGTGATGCAACTGGTCAGTATGCTCTCTACAGCGCCTCTGTAGAAGGTGGAGAGAATCGGAGGGGGGAGGTGTGCTCTTTTCATCCGTCTCAGGAAGTGCATGCGCTGCTGGGCTCTTTTGACCAGAGCTTCAGTGTGAGTGGACCAGGTCAAAGTGTCCGTTATCTGTACCTCCAGGAACTTTGTTTTGCTGACTATCTCCACTGCTGTGTCCTTGATGAGGAGTGGTGTGTAGTTGGGTTGGCTCCTCCTGAAGTCGACGATGATCTCTTTGGTTTTCTCGACATTCAGGACCAGGTTGTTGGTTTTGCACCAGTCAACCAGATGGTTCACCTCCTCTCTGTAGTCCAGGTCAGTGACGTCCTGGATTAGGCCCACTACTGTCATGTCGTCTGCGAACTTCACGATGTGGTTGGTAGTGGACCTGGCACAGCAGTCGTGGGTCATCAGGGTGAACAGCAGCGGGCTCAGGACGCAGCCCTGAGGGGAGCCGGTGCTCAAAGAGATGACACTGGAGACGGTGTTGCCCACCCGCACAGACTGAGGTCTATTTGATAGAAAGTCCAACAGCCAGTTACACAAGTGGGTGCTGAAGCCAAGGGGGGCCAGTTTGCTTATCAGATGTTGTGGGATGATTGTGTTAAACGCTGAGCTAAAGTCCAGAAACAGCATGCGCACATGTGTATTTCTTCCTTCCAGATGTTCTAAGCTCAGGTGAAGTGCAGAGGAGATGGCATCCTCTGTGGAGCGATTTGGGCGGTAAGCAAACTGGTACAGGTCGAATGTGGGAGGGAGTTTGGAGGTGATGTGGTCCTTTACCAGCCTCTCGAAACACTTCATCATGATGGGGGTGAGTGCTACAGGGCGGTAATCATTGAGGGAGGAGATTGTGGGTTTTTTGGGCACCGGTATGATTGTGGCAGTCTTTAGGCATGATGGTGCGACAGCCTGTTTCAGCGAGGTGTTAAAGATGTCCGTGAGAACCCCAGCCAGCTGATCAGCACATTCCTTCAGCAACCGTCCTGGTATGTTGTCGGGGCCCGCCGCCCCGACAAACATTTAAACATTAATGGTAAAAATGTACTGTATAGGTATCAATGAATGCAAGGGTTATGGTCCCTTCACACTACTGTGATTAGAAAAGTTACTTTTTAGATGGGCAATATTTTCTGTCTATTGTTTTGGTTCCAATGTATTCAAACGTATTTATTTTAAAATCTATTCTAATCTTATAGCTGCTGTCTAGCACACATGATTTTATGAGGGTTGCGAGTTCAGAGACAGTTGTAACATTGTATTTAGAAAAACTCATACAATAGTTATGATCAACCAAGTATTTGGTTAGAGACTAGTATTAATTTGGCAGGTGTAAAAGTAAACATAAAAAACATGTTACAAATATTAAAACTGTTTCATCTGCACAAGAAGCACAACCGAGCCAACTTTGTAACCATAGATTTTTTTTTATTGTTTTTGTTTTTCCTATGAAATGCTGCTGTTGAAAACAGCCAGTGAAGTGCCTCAGTCCTCCTGTAATCACATCCACATCTTAGTCACATGGGTGTGGTTGTCCTTGGTTAACTTAAAGTCTGGCTGTTTAGTTTAGTCTCAGCGTTACTGGCGGTGTCCAAAATGTACAGGATGCCAGCTTGTGGTCAGCAGCTCCAGCAAAAAGCCAGATTTCCCCCCCCCCGCCACACACATATTGCCTCCATGCTACCTCTAAAAAATGAGGTTCAACAGGGCACCAATTTTGTTTTGTTTTTTTCTTTTTTTCTGCAAAATAGAGATCAATACATACGTCTGTCATATACACATACATACATTACAATGTGTGTATACACACACACACACACACACACACACACACACACACACACACACACACACACAAACCTGCACATACATATCTTTATTCATGTGATGTCCAAAAAAATAAAAGAAAAAAAATTACACTTCTATTACAAAATTGTAACAAAGACTGGACAGTGTTTTCCTAGTTTGTTCGTTCAGAAAGGAGGAAAATCTATAAATCTTGAACACTAGGTGAGCTGCAGTTCTGCAGCAAGGGTGTTTTCAAAGTATTTGCCTGGAAAGGGTGATGGTAGTAGTGAAGAGCTGCATTTGTGCTGAGACCTGAACAAGAACAAATTAATTTAAAATACATTTATAAGAATCTATGCTCTGCAAATGTCTTCATAGTTAAAAGATGCACTTAACCTCATTATTTGTATATTTGTTTTACCCAAATAGTGCCTTAAACATTGAACATTGCAATCTCTCCAGGCCTTCAAAATGTATCATACACTTGTATGTGTGCACTTTACGCTCAGTTTGATGGTTTGTTGAAGCACATGAGAAAATTAAGAACTAACCTTATTCGGTTACTGTTATGCTGCATTTGTGCATGTCTGCCTGCTTTTCTATGCACATGGATGGTAGGCATTTAAAGAAAAGTGAGACTTCTCACTTTGAAAAGAAAAAGAAAAAAAAAGCAAGAGGAGAACAAAGGAAGATAATTTTTTCTTTAGCTCTGGCAGGTAGGATGTTTTCAGCAGCACATTACTATGGAGGAAGGATCCCAGCCCAAAGCAGCAGGCAGCAGCAGCACTTCAGATGACACTGGAGTAAAAAGCAGGATGCCTGAGCCACAACTGGCCTTTGCCATTTCAGCAAGTGTCATGCCAAGTCAGCCAATCCCCATGAGCAGGCCTCAGAAGGCCTGTTGGGCTGGATTGTAGTTGAACGTGGATGGCACGTGAGGCCGCTCTTCTAGCTTGTCATAGTCCAAGTGAAACTCCTGTGGTATATTTAAAATAAAAAAAATAAATAAAAAAAATTATTTTTCTTTCTTTCTTTGATTTTTTGCGCAAGCTACATTTAAACAACTGCTGTGTAGAATGTGCATCTGCAATACTGCATGGTATCGTATACTTTGTAAATTTCACATGCACACTCAGATGCAAACAGCTAATATTGTGTCTTAGACTGAGAATTAAAAATCAAATTTGCATTATTTTTCACTTACCCCAAATGAAGTCGATCACCCTTTAATTTACAGCTCGAGCTCCTAAGCTAACTCTCCCAACAAACACAATGTTTCCACAAATATATGCCAAAATCTTTATATGTTCGCTTTGAATTATGTTGATAAGCTATGCAAACCTGTTAAAAAAAAATGTAGTAAAATGGCATGGATAGACCTTATTTACACGATTAAGCTAAAATTGGAACTACATTATCATCTTCGTTTCACATCAATTTTAAGGATGACACTTCAAACAAGTGAACCTTTTCTCACTGTCATGTTACAACATGTAGCTGAGAGGTGGGTCTGGGGAGTCACTGGTGGGTCTAGCATCCACTTCACAATTTTTCGGGTGTTTATTCAGGTTCAAACATATACAGTTGAGGCTCATTTGTCTAGAAAATTTGTTACTGGATGTATTGTATACTTGCTTAGCTTCTCTACCTATATTACCCTACACTGCATTTGCATTGTAAATTCCCTTGGCCTCATCTTTGGCATCTTGCGCAGAATGACTTCAAATGGTCTCAGGAAAGAGTGATTTCAGTTGTTCCAAATGGCTTCTTTTGGCTACATGGAAAAGTTTTTTTTTTGTTTTTGTCGTTCACAATGACTCACACTGTCTAATCATTAACATTCTAAATCACATCTACTTGCCTGCACAACCTGATGAGACCTGGATGCACTTTGAGCAGGTTGAGAGAAGTTTTGGGTGACTGAAGACTTTCAGTGTTTGCTTCCTGCATTGGCCTAGCAGTTCCAGTTGTAAACTAAAGAAGTTAAATCTGGACACCAAACATGTCTTGACTGATCAACTACATTTGGAGTGAAAAATCATGTCAATTTGTATATGTTTGAAAAAAATTGACAGCATTAGTTTGAATGTTATATTATAAATGCAGATATTTGAATAGCCAAAATTATAAAAATACCCATTCCTACTTAGGACTTATATTTAAGACATACCTTGGCTACTTTTCTCCAGTTAAGACAATCAAAGAAGTAGTATGTCCCCCTTTCATAGGTATTGGTCTTTAGTGTGGGGTCCATGCCAGGTGCTCGTGTGATCCACACCCTCTCTTCTTTATGGTACCTCCAGTCCCGATTGAAACTATGAACACATGGAAATAAAGCTAATACCTTAAAACAGACATAAGAAGCACATAAAATATTTCTGGTTTTCAAAAAACCAAGTGGTATATCACATGTTTCATATTTTATGGCTCAATGATTTAATTTCTGAATACTCCTTTCTCCAGATTATTCTAAAGAAAAACCTTCAAAAGTAGGAGTGCAGGTTAATAAAGAAAACTGTGCTCTTATAAACTACAGTAGGTTACCTACTCCACAAAGCCCTGTAGAGGATGTCCAACTCCCTAGAAGTACAACACCAATTCACATCAACCACATTCTAACAGCTCTCTCATAGTCTACTGTGTGCATCTGCCACTGATTTCAACTCAGATACAACGAAGCGGCTCACAGATCACAAGAAGTCTTTAGAGTTTTACTTTACATTACTGGACGGGCTGTAATTGATCTGGACATCACAAAGACACTTTGTACAGAGCAAAATGAGTTGGGCTCCATTCTTATTTGGGCCTCATTTCCTGTAGCTGGATCAAATGAGTCAAGCTTCTCCAAGATTAGTGAGCTCTGGTTAATCAGAAACTTGTTAACATTAACTCTGCTTCTCAGAGGATAGAACCACCTTGTTAATCTGAGACAAATGTGAAGTGACCAAACTGGGCAGACTGCCAACCAATATATCAGAAGGGACATAATAAACATTCCTTAAAATAGCAAGATTCATGCTGCTGTGAAGGGACACAGGAAACAGTACAAGGTACTAATGATGTATCATAGAATTCATTTTAGTCTGCTGAGCTCATCAATGAAACCACTCAGTCTGGTATCTCACAAGCTTCCACCTTTTTCTGCTAACTATAAACCTATTATCTCGTGTATTAACTCACTATTGATTTAAAGTGATTTGCAGTGATTAGCAAAATATTGACTATGGTATAAAGAAGGAATGTTGCAAAAAAAACAACAGATTGATGCTGAGGCCATAACACAATGGTTAAAGAACTGGATTAAAAGGGGTAAACTTTAAAGACAGAACAATCAAACAACAGTCTGGCTCACAGGAGGTCAACGGTAGCTTGGTGGGAGAACTCAAAGTCATTTGCAGGTATTCGCTTGTTTTGAGAACTCTCAGAGACCAGTTAAGGAAGTGAAAGTGAGCCAGCCTTTTTGAACCTCATTTTACTTATTTTATCTTTCTGTTTATTTTTTAATAATTTAAACAATTATTAAGCAATGATTTCCTTGAATGTTTAGTATTTTTCTTCAGTATTGCTAGAACTGTTTTTGTCTGACACATTCTTTGAATAAATCAGGCAAAAACAAAACCTTACCAATGGCTTATTATTTGTGCATACAGTCAAAGCAATGTTGCCTATGCCTTGTCCTAGCCCAATTACAAGCTGTTATCAAATGTACAGCTCTCTCTCCAGCTTGCAGCTTTAACATTCAGCAAAGGCTGAAGTTTCATGTCCACTGATATACAAAAACTCCTCATTCTACATGATCACGATTATGTCAACTGGTTCTGTACATTACATACTTAAATTGTGACTCTCTACTTCCATAGCAATTGAAAAAGAGAAATGAAAACTGGCAATACATGGCAATCAAGAGAATGAGTGAGAATAAATAAAGAGTAAGCAAAGATGAAACATGCAACAAATGTGCAAAAACAGATGGCATTTAATGTGTCAACAATGGATTAAGTGGACACGATTTCTTCCAAAGCACCCAATGCACTAAAAATTCTGTTTTTTTTATTAGAGCTGGTAACAATATTAATTGACATTTGCGTGCATTCAAACCTAGCACACACAGCAGCATTTGAAGAACTGGATAAAAAACTAGAACTTTATGGCAAAGCCATCAAAAAGAAACAAGCATTTAGCTAGTCCATATAAAGCAGGACATTACTGGAATGTGCTTTACTGGAGACGGCTGTAGCTACCTTGGCTGTGTACTGAGCAACAGGCCACACTGCCTAAAGTGATCCCAAAATACACAGAAATGTTGTTATATGATCTCAAGGGAATAAGATAATCCTGGCCATCAGTAAATAGTACTGGCAACCTGGACCAAAAAGACTTTAAACCCACACCAGCTTCCTAACAGGAACAGTTGTTCATGATACTTCCAGTCTAACATCACAACTCTCATCATTATGAAGAAGGACTAGTGGTAATGGGACCAATTCAGTTCAATTCAAATGTATTTGTATATTGATCTTTTCAATGAGCATTGTCACAAAGCAGCTTTACAGAAATCCAGGTCTAAACCCCAAGTGAAAAAGGCAAAAAAATTCCCCCAGAACAAGAGGAAGAAACCTTGAGAAGAACCAAGACTCCCATCTTGCTCTAATCGACATCAGACAGCAAAACAATACCACCTAAATTCTTTTCCTGTCAGCTGGAAAGCCACAACTCAACCCAAGGTCTTAGTATCCCCTAATCTATGGTTACCACATTTACAGCTTTGCAACAGACATGAGAGAATTTCTACACAGTTCTGGTACAAACATTACAAGACTCAATGCCTTCTTTTTTGGTAATGTTATTAAACTAATTTTGTATGTTAATCCTGCTGTCCATTTAACAATCTGAAGCGTAAAAATAAGAATAAGTACATACAAAGTAGGGATGCACGATATACAGAAAATATCATTGTGATTATACTGCTATACATTGCAACGGTGATATGCTTTGTGTTATATGTTACAATGCATGCATAAATCAATGATGTGACATGGTTAAAGACTTGCCTGCATTATTTTGATTTAAATTATTTACTTTTGTTGGATTAGCACTCAGTAAAAAAACATTAAGATTGCTTAGCAGTCTCACCTTTCTGCAGTATCAGTCTTGTAAAAGCCAACATTGCATTAACAAACAATACCCTACTATGCCCCAAGACGTACTATAATTTAAAAAGCCAGTTTTTCCTCTCACTTAAAAAGGACGGATTTGGTATACATACAGCTCTACTGCTGCTAAAAGCTGGAGCAGGTCTCCACCATTCATGTAGTAAAGGTAGAAGAGAAGGTCTTCTCCATATCGTGACAGTTTTATTGCAGCAAGCTGTGGAAGTGGGGAAAAACTGATTACGACACTGTTTCCTAAAATACCATATGGTTTCAGTCACACAACGGCTGTCTTCCTCAACACAATCATACTAATAGAAAGGCAACTCAACTTCCATCTATGGTGCCCAGTAATGGCTCTACAGCTATCCCCTGGTTTGAATAAAGCTTGTTTGGTGTTGCTAGTGCACACAAACAGGGTACATGGCAAGGGGGAAGGGATGGAAACAAAAGCATTAACTGGTCAGCAACAGATCAACCACAGTCAGAATTCAAACAATTTAATTCACATGAAGACAAAATTTCAGCACTAAAGGATAAACTGTTTTGTGGTACATTTTTGCATTTTTGGTGGGCATCAGCTCACTCATTAGTAGTTATGACGGAGGCTTTTAGTCCTGACCATTGACCTGTCTAGTAGTAGTGATCCAAGGATACTGGACTTGTGGTATAACATTGAAGATAAGACAATACCTTCAGCATGCTACCATCACACCAACACACTAACCCCATGGCTGTAACACAATATGAAAGTTGGTGATTTGCATCGTCAAAAAACTGATGGGGATGCTATAAAGGTGTGATGAGGAATGAGATGATTTGCATGAGATGAACTTCATGCAAAAATTCAAGGAAAAAAGATGAAAAGATCAGATATTCATTGCTTGTAAAGATGGAGAAATTGATTGTTTCTATATTGAATATGTCTGTTGCTTATGCAAGTCTCGCCAAATAAATCAGGAAAAAAAACACTGGAAAAACAGTAAGCTTGATTAATACATTAATAGCCTGTGACGGCTTGTAGTCAGCAAACTAGTTAGCACAGATCACTGTGTATTTACATCACGTGTTGTTGAAGTGGTGTTTACTACAATAAATATGAAATATTAAACACACAAGTAAGGAGGCCTTCTCAGACTGACTGTCAGCAGCATACATTTGTTTGATATTTAGTCACCATTCCAGCTCCCTTAGGGGGTCACATTGTACATCACAGCCAGAATGTCAAGGATTTACAAGAGTGAAACTGGAAATTTTATTAGACTTTGGTGTCCCAAGTCATCACTGTTTATATGCCTACCAACATATTTACAGAGGTAATCAAAAGAGAGAGAATGAAACAGGACAACAGCTTGTCTTGAAGGACAGAGTTCTAACTGCTTTAATTACAAGATGCAATGTCTTCAACATTACACTCCAAGTCCAGTTGCCTTTATTTACTACTGCTAAATACAGCAGTTATGATGTTGGCAGCAAAAGTGGCATGCTGAACCAGTTACATCAGTTACAAAAGTAGTTTATCTGTGTTTATCTTCAACCTACCTTATTCCTTATGTGAATGTTGGTTAAATACTCCGATGGAACATGGAAGTCTGAAAGACAGAAGAGGTGGTGTTACTGAGGTACGGGTGGATTTGTTCTCGCCTCTGTCTGATTTTGGCCCACTCACCAATGTCTTGGGCCCGACAAGGTGCAGACGCCCAGGGAGAGGCAAACTTGGGATAAAGGTTTCTGCAAAATCACAAAAATCATGAGAGAATTACCAAAGTATTCAAAAATGACATTTTCATTTCAGTCTTTTCAGTAACGATCTTTCAGATGATCCCAAAGGTCCCATTAACCGTCCAGCTCCAGAAAATCCTCAACCTTCAGTACTCCATAAAAAGGCATTAGATCAAAACTTTCTTCATAGTTAAATGGTTAAAATGTGATCAGTCATTTAGAGCAATTTCTTGAGAAATTTAGTGTCAGTTTGTTCATGGTGGTGGCGAAAGGAACCAGACGTCTGATGAGTTTAATGTCTCTAAAAGCTCCTTCGCAGAAAGTTATTACATGAAACAGGTTATGAATACACTGCCAGTTATCAGAGACACTGCTTTAACATAGATTCAAGTTTTGGCCAAAAACACATTTTTTTACCATTATCAACATTACATATAAAAACTCAGAAGACACACAGTTTTATTTTGGATAGGATACAAAATGACTAAAGAAATCAAAGTCAGTAAGCTTCTCTAAAATGAACAATTTTACATCAAACTACTCTGAATCAGTGGTTATCAAAATGATCTCAGTCACTGAATTATGGAGAAATTTTGAAAAAGTCAGGGGAGTTCCTATTGTTATTCATAATTTCTGAATTACACTTATACACGCAAACTTGCGAGGCGTGAAAAGGTGACGAATTCAGAAACCAACCAACACAAACACGATAGCTCATTTCACCATTAAGTGGATTTGCCAACAGAAGTCCGTTAAATTGTTAAACTATTTCATGAAGGAATAAACAAAAATAAGGGTTACTTCTAAATCAATTTGCTGCGGTAACAACTGAAAAATACCAGGGAAAATGAGAAACTGCATCAAATCTATGGGAAGATCCTGCATGTATCATCTTAGTTCTGATTAGCTCACAGATATAAAATATGATATGGGCTGGCTGAATAATGACTGAACTGCTGCTGTGCTGTGGGAGAAGCAATGCTTTAGAAACTCTTCAAATCTGCAGCATTCACATGAATGGAGTGTTTATTATTCAAAACTGAACGTGTATGTATGTATATATTTTAGAAGGTGTATACTTTGATTTATACTATCAGGTGCATTGACAAAATTTGGCTTGTGGACAAAAATCATGGTATCATTAGTCAAACAGCTGAACAGACAAGATGTCCCCACCTATAGGAACTCTTATTGGCTATGCAGTGGTTTTTAATTTAGTTTAACAGGAAACAAACATGTTGATCAACCTAAATGCTAGTTAGTCAGCCGTAGAAAGCAGAGTTATGCTGGTGTAATGAGAAGGTGACGCGGCTAATCTTGTTGTGTTTAGGCTGGACAGGTAGATGCTGACCTACAAAAAGAATTTAACTACCCGACATGGAACAAAAAAAATGCCTGATTCACTTCTTTAGGTACTGTTTACATACTGAATGGTCACTACTAAGAACCATTTTAAGTCAGAGAATTCCTGTAACATTATTTTGTAAGTCATCTGTCCAAAAGGCTGCACAAAAAAATTCAGTAGCACAGAGGAAGCAGATAGGAGTACGTTTATTACCATTATTTTTTCTATTAAGCAAATTGACAGTCATTAAAAAAGGCAAATCTTTTAGCCACCCTGGGTAGGGGTGGGCAACATGGCAATATTTTACTGTTCTTGTGATTATTTTTGTTATCATGATACACAATATGCTTTCATGAGCACACTGTGGATTGTATCAGTAATTAAATAACAAGGGCCAATTTCTTGCTTTATTACAAAGAAGGCATAATTAGTCCTGTTTAACTAGATTTTGTGCAGCAAAGTATGTGAAATGCTGAATAATAATCATTAAATTGAAGTCTTTAAATGTTACACTGCTGGCGTAACATTAACACTGATTTAAATACCAGGAAGCAAGGCTGAACACAGAGACATAACTATAGTATCATGGAATAAACCTTTGTACGTTGTCAGCTTTTTTCAGCGTCCACTTTTAACATTAACAATTCTACATGCGAGAAGTCGACCTCAGAGTGCCTCGCATTAGCTTTTGACTATTTTCGATACATCGGTAATGTTTGTAAGATAAATGACATCCCTGTCTTTCAAGTAGTTGCTGTACGTTTCCACTGCATCCGGAATTCAGTCACTCTTCATTTTCAATAGGAAGTGGTGAAAAAAACACACAAGGGATGGTATATTGAGCCCACATACAGTTTGTGTCTTGAATAACGTGTTGGAAAGTATGTTCGGTAACTGTGCCTTTCCACTGGATGTGATAGACATCATTTATTTTCACAACCTTTCGTAAAGCTTTTTATCAGATCCGACACCGGACCACAGGCCTAACCATCCTGGTAAAAGTGAAATAAACACAGCACAAAAACTTGCTTTCATTAGTCATAAATCTCAGAATTCAGCAAATAAAAAAGTGCACGTGAAATTATAGTGCACTCCTGAATGACTTCCATATGAAGAGCAATCAGCAGCAACAGCAGTTACAGCTACGTAAAAGAGGACAGAGGCCAATTTTAGTGTAAAAGAGTAAACTGTAAATGAACCTTTAAAGGCACAGAATGTGTGCCTCTCTGTCAACAAAGTAGCCTACCAAGATACAGTGTCACATATTTCAAACAGCTGGTAATTCTTACTTTCCAGCAGCAATGGCTAATTCCAAACAAGTCACGGTCTGATATCTTGTCTAGTCTAATATACTGACATGACGTGGCACTCACTCTGGTGAGTTTAAGTTGAGGCCGAGCGTTGTCAGGTCACTGCCCAGCGCCAAGTGCACCATGCCCGGGTCTGTCTCTGCTGCTCGAATAAATGTTAATAAGCCGATCATCCCAAACTGGTCTGTCACCATCCCAGACGGAATGTTAGTCACTCGGCCTGGAAAATAAAAGCAAGGTGACCAGTGGATTAGATCTCAAAACTGGTGGAGAGGCAGCAACAAGCTCTTGATGTTTGTGTGGTTGTGCAACTATGATTGGCTCTCACCGTCTGCCAGCACATGAATTCCTTTCTTCTGTTGGTTACTGTTCTGAGATATTAAGCTCTTGTCTCCAGGAAATTTGGGCCCATCTGTGCTAGATATATTTTTACCTGATGAGTTAAAGTTCTGCAGTTGAGAGAGAAGAAAAGGTGATGGCAAAACAGAAGGGAGGTGAACACTTTCTACACCTTCCAAAGCAGAGCAGAGGCTCATCAATTTTACAACACAAAGCATAAAAAGTCACTCTTCCTGAGCTATGCTTCAGAAAGAAAAATAGCATCAGTTATGAAAGAAAAGACTAGAAAAAGTCTGACAATCAGAGTGATGTTCCAGAAATACAGTTTCTCATAGGAGGAATATTCAGACATCAGAATGCATGCTGATTTATGCTTGAATTAATGCTTTTTATTTAATATGGCATGGATGCTCTAAGATGAATCATACAGTCTACAGGGACCAGAAAAAGATATAAAAGAAAATCTATAGCTGCAAAAAATTAAGAACAAGTAAGAACAAGAAATATTCCACTTTACAAACCAAGTTCTAAAAACGTTGGGACAGTAGGTATAACTCAAGTAATAATAGTTTCTTTGACCTATATTTGAACAAAAAACAAAGATAAAATATTTCATGTTCAACTTCCTTATTTTTTTTTTTGTAAATACACAGTCATTGTGAAATTGTTGCCTGCAAGACATTCCAAAAAAGTTGGGACAGTGGCAATTTAAGACTAGGAACACCGCAAAATGTTCAAAAGCATCTTAAACAGGTGATGCAATTATGCTTGGATAGAAAAGGAACATCAACGAAAGAAAGAGTCCCATATAAGCAAGAACGGATTGAGGCTTGGCACTTTAAAAACAATGTTCCTTTGTGAGCGAGTGCAAGGATTTCAGGTATTTTAACCTCTATGGCGCGTAATATCATTAAAACACTCAGGGAGTCCAAAGAAATCATAAATGAAAGAGCCGAAAACCACAAATAAAAGCCTATGACCTTTGACCCCTCAGACAGTACTGCATTAAAAACCAGCATGTTTCTGTGATGAATATCACCTCATAGGCTTGGAAATACTTTGAAAAAACATTGTCAATAGACACTGTCATTGCATCCATAAATGCTAGTTAAAATGGTATTTATTTATTTTGCTTTTTAATAAAATTTAATTTAAATATTACAAGACAATGAAAATCACCACACTAATTATTTTCATAACTTTTCAAACTGGGGATCATGCCCAATCTGGCAACCCTGAAGATGTTGCCTCCGTGACCACCAGTGAGCAGGAGAGCAAAGGAAACAGTCATTTGAAACGTAGTCTTAAAAATTAAAAGTTTTTTATCATAAAACCTTATAAACAAGAGTAAATATATCAGTTATTCAAAAGGCTTTTCTGTTTTAGAGTATTTTAATTATCTAATATTTGTTGCAACCCTAACAATATCTATGTTCTGACCTAGCAGATACATGTGCTTACCGCTTTGCTGTCATCGTTACTCAATGTGGGATCCTTATAGTTGGGTCCAGGAAGCGCAGGGAAGTCCTCGTTGTGGATAGAGAAGTCTTGGGACTGTTCATTTGATGGTTTTGTGACCATGCCAACTACAAAAAAGGGAAAGCCCTCGTTTTTAAAATTAAAAGCTGTAAAACAAGTGAACCATTTTAATAAGTAATATGCAGAGGTGTAAGTAACGAATTACATTTACTCTCGTTACTGTAATTGAGTACAGTTTTCCCTGTAACGGTACTTTTTGGAGTCCAGGGAGCTGATGGGCAGCAGGACTCTCACTAAAATTACATTATTAATTAAGCAATTTACTCATAATTTTAGCTCTTTTTTTTTTTAAATGAACTTGGTTAAACAGTAACATACTCTGCACAGTCTTCCAGGGATTCTAAAATACTTCATTGGAGACAGATAAACTAGGACATCATCTTACCATGAAATGCATGCAGTTTAATGTAAACTTTGTTCCTTACTCAGTTCACAGAAAGGTGTGTAAATATTCAGTAGCAGAGCGAACTGTGAGCAGCCTCAGCTCTCAGAACTTCAGCTTTAGTGTTTTTCTGTACAGATTATTTCCAGTGATGTAGCCAAGTCAGCTCAGAAATATGTTCAGGTTGTGACAGCGGAAATAAGAAAAAGTAACTAAGTAACTGAGTACTTCCATAGTTTTTTAACGAACTACTCATTTACTCTTACTTGAGTACTTTTATTTATTAATACTTTTACTTGAGTAAATTATCACTACAGTAACAGTACTTGTACTTGAGTAGGGATTTTCAGTACTCTTTACACCCCTGGTAATATGTAATATTATAACAATGAATAATCTACCAGTTATTGTCATTAATTAATTAATTAATTAATTAATTACTGAAATTAAGTTGTCAGAATTTTTAAAAAGATCAAAAAATAAAACTGGTTCTAACTGAGCAATAGAAAACGATGCAAATCTGAATCAATCAAGTGATCGTGACAGCCTAACTGTAAAAAGAACAACTTCTGTCTCACAGAGACACTCTTACCATATGGAGCTCTCCCAGCCAGTGGGTTTAGCAGAGGTGTTGGATTTCCACTTCCTTCCCTTCGACTCCTGTCCGCTAACGCGGGGAAATCTGACAGGTCCAGCCCAGTCACATTTTCACTCCCATCTGCAAATGGAGACCATCCAGAGGTTACCAATCAGCAACCAAGGTACATGCTCCAAAACAACACATATGAGGATGAAATTCTCTTACCATAACACCAAGAATTGATCGACAGATCCTCACCTGTTCCATTGAAGATGTTGCTCGATAAAGAACTGTTCACCCCAAAAGCAGGATTTCGGCCCATTCCAAACCCCGACATACTGTGAAGAGAGAAAACAATGACAACATTTATCAACGCAATGCCTGAAAAGATGTCAGTTAGGATCTTATTTTATTAAAAAATAAATAAATAAAAAAATGGAGAGGGATTGAGGATCGTTTTTAACCATATCTTCGCACCAAAGTTGAACATATTGCAGTTACTCAGCAATGCTCTATTTTTTAAATCCCTCGAATTCCCATACTGATTACATTCTCAGGATTTATTTCAGGAATTGCATGGTACACAACGTAAAGTAACCAAGTTAATCTTAATTCACAGGAGTAATAAACAGGGGTAGAAGACCCCCAGGACCATATTCCTTTTATAAAAAAAATAAATAAACCTGCGACTCTCACAAGTGACCGTCTGCATGGCTGTCATCCAAAGCTGTTATTCTCTTCTGTAAAATTACTAAAAATCCACTTTTTGAGGTGATTTTAATGAAAAAAATGTCAAAGAAAAGTGTTCAAGAAGTTCCAAAACAGTAGGAGAAAATGTAGTGTGGCTACCACGCACAGAATATGGGCAACACTGGAGATAAACAAGCCTGAATGTGAACACTTTGCTTCCATGGACACCAACAAACAGACAGTTTACAGGGCAAAAAAAAGAAAAGAAAAAAAAAAAAAATTAAATAGAGCTAAAACTTGCCCCCAAAACTAAAATCGTAAACGTCTGTAAATACAGACTTACTAAGTAGTCTTTACATCTCTGGCTTGCTAACATACTTGGCTCTAGAGCTGCACGATATGGACATAAAATGCAATGTTTGATAAAGTTGCTTGATGTCATGATGACGATATAAAAAGTGATATAAGAACAGTCCGAATTCCATTAACAGCTTTTTTTAATTAATGTTTGCAGTCAGGCTACAAACACAAAAAAAAATCTGTATTTTTATTTTCATTTCGGGACTACAAAAAAAATCTAATCAATATATGTTTAATTCCTTAAAAAGCTTCTTATGATGATGCAGATTTGCTGTAACAGTAGCCATTACTACTTCAAACATTCTACTATTAAGTCTGGGCATTTTATGCACTTTCAACACACATTTAAATACAGAGTCAGAACAGACATCACAATTTAATTTAGTAGGTCAGGATAGATAGCTGTGCATGTGAGTGTTGTCACTGACTGTGTAAGGATAATGGTAAGTTTTGGAGCAGAACAGGGTTTAAACCTAGTGCATGAAAGTCCTTGTTGGGCTTCACTGCTACGTTTGGCAATCAAATTGTCACTTTGTATGTGTGAGGTAATTCCACTGTTTATTGCAAAAATTGTAATAATGATAAAAATATGATTTATCATGTTGCCCTGTTTGGCTCCACCACAATAGGCAACAGGAAAAACTGGTGGCATTGGCTTAAGTTGAATCTGGGTGATGGTGATGAACCTGTTGATGGTGAGCGGCGGCCTGGACTGCTGCTGCTTGGGCATGCAGATAATACTGGGTGAGCTGCGGTTCGGACTGCCCAGGCCCGAACTGCTGATGCTGTTGGTCCTTCCACTCACCGACATGCTCTGTCCCACCTGCGCATGATTCATCATGTTCCTCGTATTCATTGGCAAAATTCCCCTGCAGAAGTCACAGATAATGCATCCAAGCTCTAATTTCCATATCAAATGTTTAGAACAGTGCTGGGCAAAATATCATCTATACAGGTATACCGTGATACTGACATACTATTTGATACTACTTTCTCATTTTAGTAATATTTTTAGTGATATATTGGATAGATAATGAGTGGTAGATACATGACAAAGCACCTGCCAAGTGGTTTGCTTTAAGTTTTTTTTAATGCTATTTTGTGCACTTTACTTATGTTATCTAAATCTTCATAGCTTAAAATCCATGCATGCTTTCTTTCTGGACATGTGCTTTCTGAAAAAAGGAAAAAAAAAACTTATTTACTTATAAATAACTTATAGATATTTTAATATTAAGTAATCACAAGCACTCATGACCAATAAGTCAGAATGTAATTTAAATGGAATGACAGCAATTTAAAAAGAACTCTGACCTGTCTATGGAAATCTGTAATAGATGCATCACTTCGACCTCACAGCTTAGACTTGTCATTATACTGACTACATCAAGTGCGAATCAAATGTTCCATAAATTCAGAGCCTGCTTATTTTGTTCTGATTCCTCCATCATCCTATATTCTCATGTGCAAACATGTCCATCAGTTTCATTTGTAAAGAGAGGTTGCATGATGCATGGCGCATGGCGCATGCGCATCATAATTACACTGACAATGTTTCCCATTTCATTATATTTAGCTAAATATGATACTAAATCCGGTGAGTCAACATAGACAGAAATATTTCTTTATCAAGCAAATTGAGCTAGCTAACTAAAGTTTAGATGAGATTAATTTTGGATGGGCTCTGGAGTTTGTACCCAAAATCATGAGGTCAGTAACTTTTTACTTATTTTTAACAGTTTTTAAGAAAGGCATGTAGCAACAGTCACCTCAGTGTTTTTGTAATCTGATCTGATCTAATCTGTAGACTTCAGTGAAAAGTGTAAAGTGTGTGGCTCGATGCAACTACGAGAATGACACTGCAGTATGCCAAACAGTGTCTCACCTACTTGGTGAGGGTGGGGTATGAAGGGACATTGTAGGAACACCTGTTGTGGGTGTGGCATGACTCGGTAGCTGATTGGTTTGTGATAAGCTGCGATTTAGCTGCGGGTTGTTGTTGCTCATCCCCCTTATTGGGAATCCTAGTGCACCTGGAAGAGAATTAAAGAACATACAAGTTATAACTATTCAATAGAGAAGATTAACAAAAAACAACCTTTACTACCTGAAAAATGTTACAGCAGGAGACTCTTACTTTATATGGACCACACTTTTGACTACATGTCTTTCAGAGATCCAGTTCTAAGCAGATTTCTCAGTGAGAAAAATAAATGGCATTTATACAGATCACTGCTGCTAATGCACCCTGTTGTAAACGAAACTGTCCCAAAGGAAATATGTTTTGTCATACGTACATTTTTCCTCTGAATGTTGCCAGAGCCTCTGAATTACAAGTTTGTTGAGATGCCACAATATGAATACTGCTATATGCAGGCTAACAATGCTGCGCATCTGAACTGATATCAGAGGCTGGGCAAACACACCAAAACACCCTGGACAAAGTTTACTGTAAACTTTGTCCAGTGTGGTAGTTGGCAGTAGTAGAATACAATGTAAGTAGATGGTGATGGTATGTAAGTGCTGAAGTTAATAGGAGACTTACTTTCACGGAACATCATTTCAATGGGCTGGTGTATTAGCTTGATTGCGTTAAATATATTTTGACTTCTAATTCAGAGGATCCAGTGACACTTGTGCGATAATGAACACAGGACAAAACATTTAAGACGTTGCAACAAAAAAATTACTTTCAAATAACTTTTGCACTCTTGAAATATCACACTGTTGTGCTTTTATCCTTTTCGTCACTTTATTGAGAAATTAAAAAAGGTTAAAAAAAAATAAAAAAGACTGTCCTCTAATTAACACTATCCACTAATCATCCATTAATTTACTAAATACTTAAATGATCTCTTATTAAAAAAGTATTCAGCATTTTCTACCAAACTATTTCCTGCAAATCAGAAATAAGAGGTAAAGGTATTTAATTGCAAATTAAGTTTTGCTTATGAAATGTAATGGCTATTGTAATGAAATTTGGCCCAGGCTAATCAACTTTTAACTGAAATTTGATTTGTATATATTGGAGGAAAAAACAAAGCTTAAGGCTATACTGCGCACTATTTGCCAGTTACTTTATAAGTAAAAGTTAGGAATGCTTTTAGCACATTTTTCTAAAACATCGTTTTAACATGTTTAGCTAGAGTAATGGAGAGATGCTATGAACTTGTAGATAAAATGTCTTACTTTGTGGCCCGTATAAACTTGCACCAAGCTGTGACAATTGACCTGATGATGGAGATGGAGATGCCAGCATCTGAAAAAGAACAGAGAAAAGGAATCAGCGCCATGGTTCTTAAAAAGGCCACAAACACCACAGTGAGGCAAACTTGCATTTTTCATATTGACAGCTTATAATTACAATGCGACTGCTTACATACTGTAAAGAAATCTTTAAAATGCAATTTACTCAGTAATAAACAATGCCTCTATTTGGGGAAAGCTGTTGCTTCTGTAGATACAGTGGGGCAAAAAAGTATTTAGTCAGCCACTGTTTGTGCAGGTTCTCCTACTTAGAAAGATGAGAGAGGTCTGTAATTTTCATCATAGGTACACTTTAACTATGAGAGACAAAATGAGGAAAAAAAAATCCAGGAAATCACTTTGTAGGATTTTTAAAGAATTTATTTGTAAATTATGGTGGTAAATAAGTATTTGGTCACCCACAAACAAGCAAGATTTCTGGCTCTCACAAACCTGTAACTTCTTCTTTAAGAAGCTCTTCTGTCCTCCACTCGTTACCTGTATTAATGGCACCTGTTTGACCTCGTTATCTGTATAAAAGACACCTGTCCACAGCCTCAAAGTCAGACTCCAAACTCAACCATGGCCAAGACCAAAGAGCTGTCGAAGGACACCAGGAAGAAAATTGTAGACCTGCACCAGGCTGGGAAGAGTGAATCTACAATAGGCAAGCAGGTTGGTGTGAATAAATCAACTGTGGGAGCAATTGTAAGAAAATGGAAGACATACAAGACCACTGATAATCTCCCTCGATCTGGGGCCCCACGCAAGATCTCATCCCGTGGGATCAAAATGATCATGAGAACAGTGAGCAAAAAACCCAGAACTACACAGAGGGACCTGATGAATGACCTGCAGAGAGCTGGGACCAAAGTAACAAAGGCTACCATCAGTAACACACTACACCGAGAGGGACTCAAATCCTGCAGTGCCAGGCGTGTCCCCCTGATTAAGCCAGTACATGTCCAGGCCCGTCTGAAGTTTGCCAGAGAGCATATGGATGATCCAGAAGAGGATTGGGAGAATATCATGTGATCAGATGAAACCAAAATAGAACTTTTTGGTAAAAACTCAACTCGTCGTGTTTGGAGGAAGAAGAATGCTGAGTTGCATCCCAAGAACACCATACCTACTGTGAAGCATGGGGGTGGAAACATCATGCTTTGGGGCTGTTTTTCTGCAAAGGGGACAGGACGACTGATCCGTGTTAAGGGAAGAATGAGCGGGGCCATGTATCGTGAGATTTTAAGCCAAAACCTCTTTCCATCAGTGAGAGCATTGAAGATGGAACGTGGCTGGGTCTTCCAGCATGACAATGATCCCAAACACACCGCTTGGGCAACGAAGGAGTGGCTCTGTAAAAAGCATTTCAAGGTCCTGGAGTGGCCTAGCCAGTCTCCAGACCTCAACCCCATAGAAAATTTGTGGAGGGAGTTGAAAGTCCGTGTTGCCCAGCGACAGCCCCAAAACATCACTGCTCTAGAAGAGATCTGCATGGAGGAATGGGCCAAAATACCAGCTACAGTGTGTGCAAACCTGGTGAAGACTTACAGGAAACGTTTGACCTCTGTCATTGCCAACAAAGGTTAAGTATTGAGCTGAACTTTTGTTATTGACCAAATACTTATTTTCCACCATAATTTACAAATAAATTCTTTAAAAATCCTACAAAGTGATTTCCTGGATTTTTTTCTCATTTTGTCTCTCATAGTTGAAGTGTACCTATGATGAAAATTACAGACCTCTCTCATCTTTCTAAGTAGGAGAACTTGCAGAATCAGTGGCTGACTAAATACTTTTTTGCCCCACTGTACCTAATACTTTAACAGTTAACATCACATAACACTGACAGCATAGATTTCTGCATAGTAATATTAAAAGCACAATTACATTCCCTGTGGTATCTTAAAAACCTAACACTTATTTTAATTGAATGAGTTTTTGTATTCATTCTGATGTTAAATTTGCACAAACAGATACAGACAACAGGCTTTACATATGATTTTTGCAAGAGTTTCATATCAAGAGTTTAGCAACAGTACTGTGATTATATATATTTTAGACCTTCCCATAATTCAGTGCTGTTTGGTGTATTACTTACTTCTTATTTTTCACTGGTACATAGTTCACTACTTCTTATTGAAATGTTTTGTGTTCTGAAATGTTCAGATCCTCATGCTATAGGTTAGGTCTGGATGCATTTCTATGTTTTTGTTATTGAATGTCAACATGAATCAGAAATCAGAATGCCGTCTTCTTTAATGTGGGCAGGACATGATTTCATATTTCAGAATTTGACTGGATCATGAAAAGTGAAACAAACGGAGTCAGATCCTGACAGTCAGCACAATCCACAGTCCATATATTATACAATATAAAATATAAAATAGATCAAAAAAAAAATACAGACTTTGTCAAAAATAAAGAACTATGACATCATTTGTTAACAGCTTGACTGTGAATGACAGCGCAGAGAGCAGTGCCTGTGAAGAAAGAAGGTCGTTTGCAGCAGGCTAACCAATTGGCGTAGCTGATGTTCATGTACATGCGCCAGGGAGCAGAGGTGATGACTGATGTTTTCACCTGATGATAGGTAGGAGTAGTGTGGGAGGGGGAGGGAACACATGCTATGATATTATCGGATAACGTAATTTTTCATGTATATATATATATATATATATATATATATATATATATATATATATATATATATATATATATATATATACACACACAGATCAGGCATAACATAAGCTAAGAATGATCCCCCGCCCACACAGTACCTGCTCTGTGAGGGTCCTGGGGGTCCTGACCACTGAAGAACAGGGTAAAAGGGGGCTAACAAAGTATGCAGAGAAACAGATGGTCTACAGTCTGTAATTATAGAACTACAAAGTGCACCTATATAGTAAGTGGAGCTGATAAAATGGACAATGAGTGTAGAAACAAGGAGGTGGTCATAATGTTATGCCTGATCGGTGTACACACATATATAAGCACACGGAGTCTTTTAATACAGAGCAATGCTGTTATAATACATGCAGAATGTGGTTTTACACTCCCTTGCTGAAATAATCAAGGCCTTCCCTGAAAAAGACGTCGTCTGGATGGCAGCATATGTTGCCAGAACATGTATATATCGTTCAGCATTAATGGTGCCTTCACAGATGAGCATGTCAACCATGCCATGTGCACTAATGCAAACCTACACCATCATGAATACTGGCTTTTGAACTGTGCACTGAAATCAAGCTGAGTGGTCTTTAGCCTGGAGGACACAGAGTCCATGATTTCTGAAAAGAATTTCAAATGTTGATTCATCAGACCACAGGACACTTTTCCACTTCCCCTCAGTCCACTGTAAATGAGCTCGGACCCAAAGAAGGTGGCAGCGTTTCTGTATCATTTTCATATGTTGTTTCTTCTTCGCATTTTAGAGTTTAAACTTGCATTTTGGATTAACTGTTTTCGCAGACAGTGGTTTTCAGAAGTGTTTCTGAGCCCATGCAGTGATTTCCACTACAGAATCATATCTGTTTTTAATTCAGTGCTGCCTGAGGGCCCAAAGATCATGGCAAGCAAATACTGGTTTTTGGCCTGGTCACCTGCATACAGAGATTTCTCCAGATTCTCTAAATCTTTTAATGTTATTATATACCGTAGATGATGAAAAGCAAAAGTTCTTTGCTATTTTACACTGAGAAATGTTAATCTCAAATTGTTGCACTATTTCCTCGAGCAGTCTTTTACAAAGTGGTGAACCCCTCCTCATCTTCACTTCTGAAAGACTCAACCCAATCATGTTACTGACGTGTTGCCGATCAACCACCAGGTGTTTTTCTTTTTTAGCATTACACAACTTTACCAGCCTTTTGTTGCCCACATCCCAACTTTTTTGGAACGTGTTGTTGGCGTCAAATTCAAAATAGGCATAGATTTTTCAAAAATCAATAAAAATTCTCAGTTTTGACATTTGATATGTTGTCTTTATGTTGTACTATTTTCAATGAAATATAGGGTTTAAATAATTTGCACATCATTGCATTTTGTTTTTATTGACATTTTGCACAGCGGGTTCGTTCGTTCATTCGTTCATTCATTCATTCGGCCAGCAGCTGTCTCACCCAGAGCCGTCACCATAAAAACACCAATACAGGCTTGTCCTGTGGTGACTCACTTCACAAGAAGATAATTAATGCCCACTATTCTTCTCCCTACTGGCCTTGTCTCTCTCTGTCTCTCTCTGCTTACAGAAGACTGCAACAAGCCACAGGCAAGGCCAGACTGATGGGCGGTTCACCTAGCTTCTGCTCCTCACTTTAGCCACTCCTGCTCTTTCACCCTCAACCGCGAGCACCCCACAGTGGTGGAGAATGCGGATCATGCTCCTAAGGAACTACGCGCACGCGCCCAGAAAAAAAAATAATAAAAAAAAAAACTTACTTCTCTCTCTTCTACAGAGGACCTGCTGGCCACCAGCCAGGCAGCAACTGTAGCACCCCCTCTTACAAGCCCCAAGCAAGCCACACACCACCTTCTCACCAAGCTCAACCCGAGCAACATCATCGAAGCATACCTCCACACCTCTGAAAGCACTGCAGAGCAGAAAGTCTGGGACAGAGAAGAATGAGCAGAAATCTTTGTGCCTTTTTTAATAATTGAGGCACAACTGTTCTACTATTCTGTCTCCTGACCAAGCTGGGGATTACAATGAGCTGAAGGCAGAGATCCTGGCTGGAAAGGGACTTTTGTGGCTGCTGCTCCAGTAATGACGCAACCTAGAAAAGGCTTCAGAAAAGAACTGCAGGACGATGAGCAGTTAAAAACAGTGGCTCCTCAATGTGGTTAAAGAGGCATGGGAACAGCAACCCCTCACCCTTTCTTTCTATCACTGAGTAATGATTGTGCAAGAGGTGCAACAACAGATAGATGCAGTCTCGCTCATCGTCCGGGACCACCCAGGGGAAGCCCAGTGAGTCCAACAGCGAGCCTACAACTACCCAACCCAACCCAGAGAGTTCCAGCTGGGGAACTGTGTCCTGGTTCTGGTCCCTATAACCACCTGCAAGGGGCCTTATCCTGTAAAGGAGAAGCTGGGCCCAATAATTATCATCTAGAATGTTATGCTGCCATGGAATGCAAAGTCCTGGCCATTAAGTGGACCACTGACAAGCTTCAGTATTATCTCGCCACCAGGCCCTTTACTTTGATTACTGATCATGCCCCACTTACAATGATTGTGTAAAGCTAGGGACTCTAACCCATGAGTCAGCCGGTGGTTTCACTCGCTGCAGGACTTCTCATTTCAGGTGCGGCATAAAGCGGGGGTTCTGAATGGCAACGTGGATGCCCTCTCTCATTTGCCTTTCTGCTGGGTGTCAGCCTGCCTCCAGCCGGGACTGTCTATAAGCAGGGGATGTGGCCAACGGCTGCCTCGACACACCCACCGAACCTGTTTTCTGGAGCCGTCATGGCCAAAGGCAGCTCTCTGAAGTACTGAAAAGAATGGTCACTTTTAGCACCTCCTTTTGTGGACAGCTGGCAACTGCATGGCCCCTGGGTCTGGTATCTCGCATGCCTGTCTCCTCCTGATCGCTTCAGCCACTCAACCAGACAGAGCCATTGCCAAAAAGAGACGAATAAAGGCTCAGTCTGGTGAGTGACTTAGCACTTCATAAGAGAGAACTAATGCCCAATATTCTTCTCCCTCCTGGCCTCGTCTCTCTCTGTGTTTCTCTCTCTGCCAACAGGAGACTGAAACAAGTCACAGGCAAGGCCAGACTGATGGGCGGTTCACCTAGCTCCTGCTCCTCACTTCAGCCACCCCTGCTGGGAGAGACTATTCACCCTCTGTTAGGAGGCAGTGTAGCAGAATGACTCGTGTTTTTCCCTTTTTTATTTTTGTTTTTCTCTCTTTTGATCACTTTATTGCTTATGGAATGAATTGTGTCAGTAGTGTGTTCTGTCCTCTCTCTCTCGACCACGAGCACCCAATTATTAATGCATTACTTTACTTTTTGCAAATTAACTCACATATACATATATACACACATATATACATACATATATACATACATATATACATACATATACACATACATATACACATACATATACACATACATATACACATATATATATATATATACACACACACACACACACACACACACACACACACACACACGTGTGCATCTTTGAAAATAATCTGTACAAAACAAAACTAAACCCCAAATATAACATTACATGATATTAAAGCTTTTAAAGTTAACAAATAGCCAGCAAACTCGTTATACACTTTTAGGGAACAACAGTTAGCCAGTCTGGGTGGAGCGACAAGCAAAAATTCTGGCCGGTTTCAGATGGCAGATTTGGAAGCTTTAAATAATGCTGCTGTCTTTAATTCATTTGAAAAGAAATGAAGACCACAAATTGAATAAAGTATGTTCTTTGTGTGTGCTGCTCCTCTTTCTTTCTCAACTATACTTGACATTTCTGAACTTATCAGGGCTGAAGTTTTTTGTGGTTTTATTCTGATTGGCTTTCAGAACTGAATCATTTAAATTTAACTGGGCTTTCTTCTAATTGGTTTATGAGCAGAAACACATATTTGTTCTTACTCAGTAAATTTCCCATTACTATATTTAGTTTCTTGTTTCTTACATCCATCTATTCCCATAGGTTTCTGAAGTAAAACTTCTTTATTTCAGATTAAGTAAAAGTACTAAGATTACTCTAAAAAGTTATAATAATAATAATAATAATAATAATAATACTAACAATAATGTGTTTTGCCTGTTAATTTTCAGTGACACAAATAAACTCAAGGGACCTAAATATTTGCTGATATTTTCAGCCATCTGATGTATTACTTAGGCCCCACTATTAAATAAAAATTTCCAAAATTTTTTAATTATGCCATGATGGGAATAGTTCTTCTTTTCTAAAATACAATTGAAAAAATGTTCCCATACTTATAATTCTGAATGATAAGCATTAGCAACACTTAAGAGGGGTTACAAAAGCAGCAACGTAGCCACATAGCAGACATCAACAGAAAATGAGGACCGTCACTTACGTCTTTCTCTGATCGATGTGGAAACATCGATGCCTGGCTGTAGTACATGCTCTCATCTGGGTAGTCATTTTCAACCTCCTCCACAAACTTCTTTCTAGTAGTACTAAACATGCTGTTTGTCACCTACAGAGCGAAGAAAGTGAAAGTATTTTAATAGTCAAACATCAGCATATAACTCACATGTACTTTACTAAAGGATACAACACATTCTGTGAATATTCTTACAGAGACAGAGAGTTTCCATTATGTTTGCACACAGCCCAGCAGCAAAATAAGGCTGAGGAGCTGAAACGAGGAAGAAGCACGCACAAGCTTATGACAGAGCCTTATCTCAAAAAAACATATTGCGGTCTAAAGGGCTCACATTTGGAGAAAGATATCAAACTCATGATACTTGTTAGCTGACTGCCAACAGAGTACAGATGCCCTTTTTCATAAGGATGCAATTACACAAAGTACTTTACAGTCTGTGGAAAGAAGCAACGTTCTACAGTCATGTAAATGTTCAGTATGTTTGGCATGTAAATGTTCGCAGTACTGCAAACTACTGTCTACTTCTTGATAGTATGTGTTGATGTGGCAATAGCTATTTCAACAAGGGGTCTATTTCCAAAATGCATTAGAAGAAATATCATTACATGGATAAGGTACATCCCAAAATAACACACTATTGTAAATCTAGAAAAACAGATAATATACATAACAAACAAAATATACATAAATACACTATATAGTGATATACACCAAAACTGTAAAAAATCTTAATATTATTGTGATATAACTTTTTGGCCATGCCGCTCAATCTCAGTGTATGATGTGTTACTGCTGAAAAAAAGAGTAATTTAATTATCAGCAGATAATTACAACTGTTAACGTAACACCCTAGTCACTACTGGGGGGAACTTTCCTTTTTTAAAGTTACACAAATGGAGCGAAGTGAGTGAATCCACCCTCCCACACATGAGGGAACAGGGTTTGGTATAACACACCACTGCACGATGAAAGGCAAAACTCCCAGTGTTACACTCACTAAGTGTTGTTAATGACTCCACATAAGAGTGTCTGTAAAATATTTACATAAAATAAATTACAAGATCATAATAATCTGAAAATTTGCCATGGCTATGTAGATTACTTAATCTGATCTTTGTAGTTATAAACTGTTTTACTACACTTTGTGTGAGATATTGGGAGTGTGAGAAAATATCAATACCCTTCAGTATAGCAATATTATTATTTTGTCATACTGCATCCATTCTCAAAAACACATTATTGATGTTTACATGCAAAGATTCATGGCAGATAGCTGTGCATTTTGTGTTACTGCTGTCTTCGGCCATTACTTTCTCTTTTACTCTGATATTATGCACGTGGAGGTGTTTTTTTATACTATGACACTTTTTCTAAAATTAGATTTTAAAAAAATCTAAATACACCACCTTGCTTATGGTGTCACAATATACTTAATTGTACCCTCTGTGTCATGACATGTATCATATCACCAGGTTCTTGCCACACAGCCTGAAAACAAAAGGTTAGATAGCACGACTTTGGGATGCATGAATTAGATAATGTTCTGGATGAGCGGTTTTACAGATATACAGACTGCAGATACTTAAGTCTATCAACATGCTTTTTGAGGAGGACTAAAAACTTCTTTTCATTTAAAATCTGCTGAACCTGTTTGATAATCATCCACATTTACAATTAAATGTAATCAATCTAAGTGTAAATCAATCTAAAACACAGTATGAGCATCACCAACAGATTCACATGTGTGGTGATACTGTCAGCAAAGGCTGCATGGTATGGATTGCGTGGATATGTGCCTGATTTTATGCCCTGTTAGCAATGAGTGCAGCCATATAAAATGATCTAAAGTGGTGTCCACATGCACAACAAGCGGACTGTGCCATTATTTTTCTATCAGAGATTTCTGGCACCATGTTTGTCTGGTGCAGTGCATTTGTTTCAAATAAATATTGGGATACTTAAAGTGCATCATGAAACTGTATCATAGTATAACATTTGTTATATTATCCATCCCGATAGCCAATGGATTATAAAGAGGAATAAACATTTGGTGTAATTCATTTTTGTTGCCATTACGCTAACGCTAATATAGAGATATCTGACATACTTTGCGTGTCCAAACCTTTGTAGACACCTGCTCATCCAGTGTTGCTTCTGAAACTAAGGGTATTGATATAGAGTTTGTCCCCTCTTTGCTGCAGTCAAAGCCACTCCTCTTCTGGGACGGCTTTACAGTCTGCAGCCCAATGCAGGAGAGATTTATGCCCCTTTAGTTGACACTTGGCACTAGGTATGGTTCATATGCTGATGCTTTAGAGTGTCCCATTCTTTTGATAATGGTCTGCTAGAGATTCTACAAGCTGTGCGTGTGAAAACAGAACTTTTGCACATACAGTGTGCATGGCAATGTTCGTCAAATGTGTTTTCCTCAGGTTGTCATCAATTTGATAATTACTTAAACAGTATAATAATACACGTAAATGTTCTCGTGTTGGACGGTGCATACGTGCACACTAATTATAAGTAACGATAAGAGAAAATGATCCATCATGGCTATCGATGCTGAAGAATTCTCATCTCAAACCCCACAGTAGCCGCTTCATTTTTTAATAAATAAACACTAACGTTAGATTCAAAGCGCTAGCTAACGTTACTAATGACTGTACAAGTAGGAGACTGCTATCAGAAAACAGCAGTCTTAACGTGCACGGGTCTTTTCACTTTTGCACCACAGTGTCCCGTATAGCTAACTAAACCGAATGTCCTGCCACATTTCTAACTAAATAAAGTAAAGTAAATAAATAGGACAGCACAGCAAGCTCAATTTAGACACACACTTTTTCCACTGCCTTAGCTGAGCAGTAGTTAGCCAACCCTTAGCTACTATGCAGCATTAGCTACCCACAAAATCCAAATTATAAACCAGCCATAATGGTGCTCCAACATGTCACTGCCTTTACTAGCTACTGTTGGTTGACACAATCGACTTGCAGTCACACAAACAAAAATCAAAATATCTAGTTTATCTGTTCCTTCACGGCCAACGGGCTAGCCGTCCCAGCTCGCACTATGCTCGGTTAAGTTACTGCATCAGTAGTATAAACCTCTGCCCAGCAACGGTGGTGTCCATCAGGGTCAGGATGCTGGAGAGCTCCTTTAGTGTGAAAAGACGGCCGATTCGGGAAAACTGAGTGGCTGAAACAAAATCCAGTTTCTGTGCGGATCAGGCCTTTCTGCTTATTTCTACTATCCCCCGGCCCACCTCTCATTTTACATACAGCCTCCTCACACACTCACGCATACACAAACACACCTTCACAAAACACGCTCAGCTAAAGCCACAAAATAGCCGAACCTCCTTCTCACATCACCGAAACAAATCTACTTTAATCTAGATTCATGGCTTGTCAGACACAGAGCGCAACTGTCACAGAAAAACACTCACCGCATTCATTTCTCTCCCTCTCGTAGATCCAAGATGGCTGTGTGTTGTACAGTCGAGACCGCGGGATGACCCAGCCTTTACCCTCTGACCCTGAAACACGAGGGAGTGCCAAAACAGTGTATGGAAACATTTATTTTGGAGGGCTTAACGGTGCTGAAAGTAATAACAGTTAAATGGAATTTCAGAGCCAGTTCTGTTATTTTGTAGGCCTCGTTACATATTGAACAGACCCTGCTGAGGCTATTTTAAAGGGACAGAGCGAAATGCCCACAACGAAGAAAAGAAGGTATAAGTTCTTAGGCAGACGGCGTCTCAATTCCGATCATTGTGGCCCATGCAGTAAACTATCTGTAGATTTTTTGTGTGTAATGTCCCTCTTTACATTCAAGTGCTGCTCAAAATGTAAGGATCAAACATGCACTATCGGATCTAACGTAGTGTATAGCAGCATTAACCACCAAATTCAATTGAAGATGGGGGCCAAATCGCCAATCTCGTCAACCTCTCAAAAATTCAAATACGTACACACGTTACTGCAAGGCCGCACCGCAGCGACACGGACATGGTTGTGTGTGCTGCTCTGGTAGGAGTGTATCAGGTATTCCCCCGTTACCCTTCAGCGCGCACATCGAGATCATAACGTCTTCAGCTGACGCTGCGCTGCGGGGCGGGGCTTAATTCGACCATGTTTGTACCGTTATATCTACGTGCACCTAGGAAATTTGTTTCCCTGTGATCTGTTGAAAATGGAGTGCATTAATCTTACTTTTACGGTAATAATGTAGCTTTTCCTTATAGTTTTCATCAGGACCGTTGTTTTACACAAGAAACACATAGGAAACAGAGCTGTACTGATGGTAAAAGGTTTCCCATATATTAAAATATAAGACAAGTGAAATTAAATTAAAATGCAACAACAGTGATAGTAAGCATTCTACCTTTGAACACAACAAGTTTGATCCTTATCCTTAAATAATAAGAAAACAGCAGGGAAACAGGTTTTACTGGACGTCTTGGAAAGTGCTTTCCCCTTTGAGAGATAAAACTGGAGTGGATTTAAAGTACAATAATGATGCTGATAATCTCCATATGTGCATGATCATTTCACCCAGTAACTTTAGTCATATTATACCACCCTTACACTCAGAATACAGGGGTACATCTTTAACCAGAGCCAGGGGTGTCAATAAAGGGGGGGGTGTGGCATGGTCCCCAAAGAGAATCTTTAAAACACTTTTAGAGTAGCAACAGCCAGAAAATGTCAAGTACATCACCAATGACAGATTCACATACTGTCAGCAAAGGCTGCATGGTATGGATTGCGTGGATATGTGCCTGATTTTATGCCCTGTTAGCAATGAGTGCAGCCATATAAAATGATCTAAAGTGGTGTCCACATGCACAACAAGCGGATTGTTAGACCACTGTGCCATTATTTTTCTATCAGAGATTTCTGGCACCATGTTTGTCTGGTGCAGTGCATTTGTTTCAAATAAATATTGGGATACTTAAAGTGCATCATGAAACTGTATCATAGTATAACATTTGTTATATTATCCATCCCTATAGCCAATGGATTATAAAGAGGAATAAACATTTGGTGTAATTCATTTTTGTTGCCATTACGCTAACGCTAATATAGAGATATCTACACTTTTAGAGTAGCAACAGCCAGAAAATGTCAAGTACATCAACCATGTTAAGTATATAAGAAATTGGCACACAGTAGATCTGTCTCTTTGTTGTTCGTATTAAGGACAGACCTAATACATCAAACATGATATCCTTCAGGGGCAGTTCTAGGACCAGAGCTTTAGGGGTCTTTAGGGACCAGCCTCTAAATTCTAAAGTCATAATGGCTTTACAGAGGTCTTGAAGTTATTGAGTTTTAAAATTTAGTTTATAGTTTAAGAGATCTACAATTCTAATTCTTACTAGTCAAAATTGTATTTCAGATCTCACTAATGGTTTAATGAATACATAGACAATTATAATATTTGCATTTCATTCATATTTATGAGAGCGATATTAGGCAGGTAAAGGATGGTACAGTGCAAATGAACTTATTACATGCGTTAGTACAGAATTTGATTGATGTGCACAGTCATACATGTATGCCCACACACACACACACACACACACACACACACACACACACATACACATTTTATAAGCTGCTTATCCTCCTGGATCATGGAGGATGCTGGAGCCAGCACTACATGTATGTACAATCATAAGAAAAAAATTAGAACAGCCCATTAAATATCTAGTTCTTTATTAAGAAATATGGACAAATCAATATTTGATCCTCTTTCAAACAATATCTATAGATAAATATTTATACTCAATCACCCTCTGATACAATGAAGAATTTATAGTGGATTCTATAATGGAGAACTTGTCAGGCCCTGCTGCAGCAAAGCAGCCCCAAAACATGACATTTCCACGTCCATGCCTCACAGTTGGTATGAGGTTGTTGTGCTCAAATGCTGTGTTTGGTTTGCGCCAAATATGTCTTCTATTACTGTGCCCAAACAATTCAACTTCGGATTCATGTGTCCAAAGCACACTGTTCCAGAAGTCCTGTTCTTGTACTCTCAGGCAAACTTCAGTCTTGCCCTGATGTTTTTTTTGACAGCAAGGGTTTCCTCCTTGCACACCTTCCATGAAAATCAAACGTGTGCAGTCTCTTTCTGATGGTAGAGGCATACACCTTGACATCAACTGTGGCACAAGCTACCTCTAGGTCCTATGATGACATTTTAGGATTGTTGGAGATTGTTTAGGATTGTTATTTACACATCTTGCAGTCTGCTCTTGGGCTGAACTTGCTTGGACAGCTGACGTGGCTATGCTGGCAGTTGTTTTAAATGTTTCACTTGTAAATTATTTTTCTGACAGTGGAATGGCTGAGATCTTTTTGAATCCCTTCCCAAACTCATCTACAACTTCTTTCTGAAGGCCTCAGAGAGCTCTTTGGGTCTTGCCACAGTGATATCACTCACTCCAACAGTCAAGAGCAAGCAAAACTAAATGCCTGAGGTTTAAACAAGACAGGCTCCTCCAAAATTCTTTCTAACAATGTTCTAATAATTTGCAGCTGATGTGGTGCACCTGATTCTAATTTTAAGTATTTTAAGTAGTAATAAATTTGGAGGTGTCCTAACTGTTTCCTCACAAGAAAATTGCATTTCTATTAATTACATTTTACACATTATTTTTCAAAAATATTTCTTCAATTTTATTTGTTTAGTTATACTACCTCAATCTCTCAATATTGTTAAAATGAAGATCAAATGTCCATATGCATGTTAAAAAAGACAAATGTTTTCATGGGATGTCATGGAACAGCTTTGAATGTTCAGCCAATCAGATTCTGAAACTGAATGTTGTTTTTTTCTCAGTAGATTATATGAAAGGTTGTGTGTGACCATTAGGACTTTATTCCTATGAAATTTAGTAAGTCACATGAAATTCATTTGGAAGTTTGATTTCTCTGAGCTTGTCATTAGATCTGGTTGGCAAATGAGCACTTAGTTAAGCTTTCTAGTACACTAGACCTACTCTTTCCTCAAATGTGTGTGAATGAATCTGAACTAAGAGTCTTACTACAGTGTCTTCCCTTAAAAGCTGAGGTTTAATAGTGCATGGCAACATCCTGCTCCAAAAGATATTTTGTCTCAAGCTCTTGGCCTAATTTCTCCTCCTCCTTCTCAATCACCTCTTCTTCTTTTTCTTCTGTCGCTGGGCCACAGTTTCTATAGGCAAGCAGTAAATGTGCATAGGTATGTTCTTATAGTAGCTTGTTACCCAGGGCCTGGAAAAAACCACAGAGATGAATAGTTTGGTAATCACAGTCAAGCATTTTCTAATGTATTTTAAAGAGAATCTGTCACAGTACCTTGTTAGGTAAAGCACAGTCACTGACCCATTACAGTTCAGCCTTTTTTTAATTGCATGGTACCAGCTCAAATCAACTTGACTCTACTTGACTCTATGCACTCTGGGTACCAGCAATTTAATTTTCCACTGCAGATATAGTACCCCTATTGTGTAGGTCATCATAGCGGTGCCACATGAAACTGGCATGATGTGAGACAAATTTTGTTCAGAAGAGGCTGATATCAGCAAGACAAAAGACTGCTAAAAAATAGGAGTTTGGGAAATAAAGAGTTCAGATGATAAGCTGATTCAGGTTGCTCAAATGCAACACAAGAGGTTACGTTAACCACGTAGTTATTGTTAGCCCGTGCGTTTAGGGTGATAGTGACAATTCTTTCTGACCAATCAGTTTTCACATGTCACCTTTTCGGCTCAGCCAACTTGGAACCTTGACAGAGATGATACCAAAAATAGGACCAGGTACCAGGTTTGAAAAAACAAAAAAGACAAGTAGAGTCGAGTTGAGCCGGTACCATGCAGTGGAAAAGCAGCTGTAGAGCTCATCTGTTGCCTTTCACAGTCTATGTTGTCATCCTCTAGCCAAGGGGTTTCAAACTGGGTTCTTTTTGGTCCACAGCTCTGCAGAGATTAACACTTTCCCTTTTCTAACTCTAGGTGCATTCCAAAAGATAAACTGCAGTCTAGTTGGGCTTTATTTCTAGACCGCAATGCCATCAAATGCTGTTCCAGTCAGAAGAATCCTTCAAATACGGCTGAAAAATGTAGCCTACAATCTGACTTTTCTGAGGATGTTACCGGAATATCCTTTGTGGTTTTCTGCACACACGACTGATTAATTAGTCATTTGCTGAGAAATGCCAGCAAATGAAACCACTGCATCTGACAAAACTCATATTCAAATAAATGTATACATGTTGACATAAATTTAGTTCATGTATAAAATGCATAATGATGGATTATCAAAAATTAGTCTGTAGCTATAAGAAGGGCTATCTATATTTAACCCGCTGGATAGCCAATACTGTACAGTAAAGGTACTGCATACTAAAAAAAATAAAATCTATACTACAATATATATTCAGCTATTTCTTTAATCGTGGATCTGTTTAAACTAAATGCTAAGTGTGGGATGCACCAGCTTTCAGTGAGCTGAACAGACTCCTTCCTGATCATAGACTGCTCCATTTTGCATTATGTAATACAAACAAGGACAACGCTAACAAGGATCCACCTTTCTGCAGCTTAGCTTTTTGAATGCACCCAAGGTGGGAAATACAGGGGGTCCTGATGGGTCCAGGACCTCCTAATCAACCACTCGGACCCCCTGAATGCCTCAAAATGAAATTACTGGGGATACCTGAAAATAAGCCTATTTTGACATTATGCTGTCTGTTATGAGAAAAACAGTGGCTCAAATACAAATTCATGGGAAGGTCATTGTTTAACTGCTTCTCCTACAATCGGTGACCTTCTGTCCTTGGTATTCTTAACTAACTAGAACTGCAGCAGTGGTCTGCTTCAGGGTGGTGCTGTAGCAAACTGGTTCACCCAGTTGCCCCTTCATAGCCTAGCAACTATAACTATGCCCAGGATTCCTATGAAAAACATCACGCAGCTCTGAAAAGTCAGAAAAGTCTTGCTAATTAGTCGATGAGTTGAATAAGGTGTACGTATAGAGAAATAGAAGGTGCATGCTTCTAATAGACTAGAAACATATTAAAATTATCCTTAAG